TGGGACGAGTTTGCGAGAATCCATCAGTGTGATAGACTTTGAAGAAATCCACTGGTTCTTTGTAACTCTGTGGTTTAAGTCACTAATAGATTTCATTGCTGTTTCCACAGCTGTTTGTATATCTTTCCAAGCAACATCTGGGTCAGCCTCGTTTTCAGAACTACCTAAGTATGACCTCAGTTGTTCCTGGAACTTACTTTTGGTTTTCTCGTTACTCAACTCAGTTCTAATGGGTCTTTTTAATGTGGCTTTTTTGCGTCCAGTGAGGCGCAAGCAGATGCGTGCCCGTATTAGGGCATGGTCGGAGTCCAAGCAGGTACTCCAGAATGAGCGACAATCTTCTACCGACCCTCTCCAACGATGACTGGTGGCAATATGGTCTATTTGAGTCCATCGTTGGTTTGGTGTAGGGGGTCGCCATGTTAGACGATGTCTCTCCTTATGCTTAAAATTTGTGTTTGCTAACAATAAACGATTGTCTGAGCATAGTTGCAGCAGACGATCGCCATTATCTGTTCGTTGTGCCGGTATACTAAAATATCCACCTAAATGCCTTTCTGTTTAGTTGAGACTATCTATCTGGGCATTAAAGTCATCTGCTACGAGTACTATGTCTGAACGTTTAGCTTCCTGAAGAAGTTCAGAGAGATTTCTGTAAAATTCATATTTCATTTCATATGAGCTGCAGTCGGTGGGAGCGTAGGCAGAAACGACAAAAAGGCAACGACGTGTGTCCCTATCCTTCCGAGTTCTTACGGAGCCGTTTAGCCGAACAGCACATAGACGACTGTTGATGGGGATCCACTCTAGCAGTGCTTGTTCCGCCCTTATGCTTAGTGCTATGCCTACACCTGCCAGTTCACGAGAGCTGGCCATCGGGCCACCAGATACACGGAGGGTGTGTCTCGTTGGCTCTCCGTTTTGCCGAGGTGAGGTCAAGTGAATGACCACACTGGGATCCTGTATGCGTGTTTCGGAGACACAGCATACATTAATGGTACGAGATTCTAGGGTTTTAGCCAAGGAAGCCTGCTGACCGATTTGACATAGGGTGCGTACATTGAAGGCTCCAATGTGTAGTGTGGAGCGAGGTTTCAGTAGACCTGGGACAGTGTTTTGAGCACTAGAATCGTTGGCTATGGCGACACTTGAGGGGGAAGCCGAAAAAAGAGGTTTAGAGTTTGAAGTTGATGTAGTAGGAATAATAGGAATTGAAGAGGGAGGTTGATTATGAATCCAGTGGTCTTGAGTGCTGTTAGAGGTATGAGGGCGGTTATCACTTCCCGGTTGCCCACACCGTGGAAGGGTTCTTCTGGAGGTACCTGAAAAGGAAATCGGATTAGAAGTGGTTTTAGTGACCAGCGAGCGTGACCGCAGTGCCCAAGGGAAAACTGCTTGAGGTCGGTCACACACGACCTTTTTGTGTTAGCTCAGCACTTGTGGAGACCTTACCGCCGGAGACGGATATCCGTGGGATAAGGCGAGGTGTGCATTTTTAGGGCCGACCTTTTCTAACCCCACCCCTCCTTGTGGGAAGGCAGCATCGCTGTCATGCTGGTTGTCTGAAGGAAACACCTTACTGCTGTCACACCTCTGTACAGTCGGCAGTACGACTTCGCCTCCGGACCTTGGGTTTGTTGCTTTTAGTCTTACCGCTCTTCAACCGACCTTTCTGACGTGGTAGGACCTTGAGGAACAGTTGTTCCAGTCAGTATAGCTCGGTTGGGTCATCACGATAGGCAAGCCCGACCACCACGTCAAGATAGCAACAACGGTCGGGAACCTGGTATTGACAGCAGTGTAATGCCTCTGTAGTTTTCACATCTGCTCAGATCTCCTTTCTTTGGAATCTTGACGAGGTGCCCTTCTTTCCAGTCAATCGGAACTTGTTCCTCCTCCCGAATCTTTTTGAATAGAAGGTGAAGCATGTTTGTAGCTACTTCGATGTCTGACTTCAGGGCTTCAGCTGGTATGTTGTCCGGTCCCGCTGCTTTCCCGTTCTTGATTTGTCTGACGGCCATTCTGATTTCTTTCTTCGTTGGTGGATTGACGTCTATGGGAAGATCTGTGTGTGCTGCTTCGACGTCTAGTGGATTCTTTGTTGCCGGCCTATTCAGGAGTTCCTCGAAGTGCTTTACCCATCTGTTCTGCTGTTGTTGAATTTCAGTGATTGGCTTGCCTTCTTTGTCTTTGACCGGTCTCTCTGGTTTACTGTATTTCCCTGATAGTTTCTTCGTTGTATCGTAAAGCTGTTTCATATTTCCTTCTCTAGCAGCTTTTTCCGCCGTTTTTGCTAGTTCCTTCATGTATTTTTTCTTGTCGGCTCTAATGCTCCTCTTCGCTTGCTTGTTTGCTTCTGTGTATTCAGCTTGTGCTTGGACTTTCTCTGATCGTGTTCGGTTGTTGTTAATTGCTGTCTTCTTGTTCTTCCTTTCTTTGATCTGGTCCAGAGTTTTTATAGAGATCCACTCTTTATGATTGTGCTCCTTTAGACCCAGAACCTCTTGACACATTGAAGTTAATGCTTTTTTGATACTTTTCCAATTGTCCTCCATAGTAGTTTCTTCTTCATTCAGTAGATTCTGTAAGGCTTGGAACCTGTTGTTGAGAGCTATCTTGAATTCGTTGATTTTGTTAGTATCTCGAAGGAAGGCTGTATTGAACATTTGTAGTGCTGATTGTCCAGTTTTTCTTTAGCTTCAGTTTTAAATGGGCCACAACTAGGTGGTGATCTGAAGCTATGTCATCGCCTCTCCTGATTCTCACATCTTCCATTGTCCTTCGGAATTTTTTATTGATGCAGATATGATCTATTTGGTTCACTGTGGTGTGGTCCGGTAAGATCCATATAGCTTTGTGTATACGTTTGTGTGGAAATATTGTGCCATCTATGACCAATTTGTTGAATGCATATAGATTTGCAAATCTTTCTCCATTTTCGTTTCTCTCACCCAGTCCATGTCGTCCCATATCTTCATATTCGGTGTTGTCTATTCCAACTTTGGCATTTAGATCTCCCATCAGAATGAGGTCCTTTCTTGGACACTTCTCTATGATTGACTGCAGCCGCTCGTAGAATTGATCTTCAATATCGTCGTTGCTATCATTGGTGGGTGGATAACATTGGATAATATTCATTGTGATCCCCTCCTTCTTTGTTTTGAATGATGCTTTGATGATTCTGGATCCGTGAGATTTCTATCCTACAAGTGCATTTTGTGCTACTTTGGACAGCATCAGGGCAACTCCCTAAGTGTGCGGAGCAGTTTCCTCTTCATGACCGGAGTATAGCAGCATCTCTCCCGTATTTAGCCTTTGCCGTCCAGCTTGGGGCGGCCAAACCACTGACAACTGGACCAAACGGTATTAATAGGTGTAGACTACCGGGTTGGGGTCCGCGTGATTATCCTAATCAATCGTTAGATACTTCAGATGGTACAGCTCAAAATCGTTCACAGCGGCGCAGGTGTATCTTTTATTTGTCTTCCTCGAAACTCTGACTAAATTTCCCTTAACTTTTTTGTGTTTTACTTCGCCGGTTTATATTTTTTTCGAATGATATCTTTTATACCCAGTCTTTTCGATCACTACTCTTACTGTTGCTACCTCTACTATTCTGAGATTTGCTCTGACAGTTTCGTCTCTCTGTGTTAATGGGATATGACAAATTGAACCGATGTACATACGTACCAGGTTTTGTGTTGTCACTGACTGATTGACTTTTGTCATGAACCAACACAGGCTTTGATGCCAAAATCTTTAACCATGTGAATGAATAAATTTCGTGCCAAAATCCAAGGCTTGTCACCGGTAATTTCACTATTTCTTCCGTAGATTATAGTCTTGCCTATCTCCCCGTGTATTAGGTTTTTTATTTTTTAAAGCTGTCTTGGTGTTAAAAGAATTTAACCACATCAAGTCACATATCCATCATTACCTAACTCTAATTTAGTTTAGTTTTCAAAATGACATATTGAACTATTTGAATATTTTATGCTTAACCAAACTATCCACAGCATCATGTTCGTCCTTTTATTAATTTATACCACGCATTATTTGTTATCGTGCTTTAGTGAAGTATTTTAGCTTCAGTATTGAGTATATTTTTCAGTGTGTCAAACACAACCCTATCTTTATATACTCTCGTTGGAATCTAAAAATCAACAGACTGATTTACAGCTTGTTATTGATGGTCACTGGGAAATTTTTGTGTTATTTTATAGCTCTTCTGTTCGTTATTGTTTATAATCAAGTATTTACTTTCCTTTACCTATTGAATCCTCAAGCTTACATTTTAATGGAAATAAAAAATAGACGATTTCGAGCTTGTGTGTAATATATTATAAATCATACCTCGAAATGTTTCTTGCTTAATTTTGATTAATCGATGAGTCTTTAAGCCTTCACAGCTCAGAAACGATGAAAATTATGAATGTACTGATTTAAAGATAATAAAAAGTGTGATTAACAATAAATGTTAGTGGCTGTTAATATAACCGTTAACTAATCGTATAAGCAACTCAACCTTTGTTGAGTAAGTATGTGCACAAATAGTTGCATTTAGCTGTAACAAAATTATTCTCGTGTTTGGATGGTGGAAGCCTTATCTACCAACAATGTCTGTTTTTCGTTGCACTGAGCCATCTCAGGTTTTGTTCTTAATCTCTATTCGAAGTTATAACAGTGAAAATCGAAGTTAGCTACATGAAAGCTCATTCTTGAAAATGATTTTAGCCTTCATAAAATTTCGAATTTGAGATGATTGCTAAAGTAGAATTTAAAAAGGGACCACGTTACATTGAACAGAATCACGTCAAAATGTTGTTGAATAGATAGTCAAAATCCATAAATGTCAGGGAATTTAGAAATTTATGGAGTAATATTTTATTGTTCAAAGGTTGGTTTATTTTACTTTGAATATTTTAAGAAGAATACTACATTTAGGTTACGTAAATGTTAGCTAACTCATTTTCGCTACTTTGTTTTTTATGCCACACTAGCTTTCTATTTAGCATTGATGGGTATTTACAATCAGTGTATACAGGAGCGTCATTTCCGTCATCGTTTGGCACGTTCACACAATCTAATTACTCACCTTATGCGTGACCTGATCCGTAGCCAATCAAAGCAGAAGTTATCCAACTGTATATCCAAATCTGGGGTAATCAAAAGAGGATGCTACGCCAAACGGTCGAGTCATCTAAGTGTTTCTCGAATCAAAAAGGTTAATAGGAAATTATGTTACAGTGATAGTTTCAGGGCACGAGAAACTGCATATTCCCCCAAACTAAAAAGTTGTGTTGATCGGATTAGTGATTTTAATTCTAATGCTATGATAAGTGAACGTGTGGACGCCAAAGTTTTCGGTCAGTCCGTAGCTTTGACACAAAACCATTTGAATTGTTCATATGAATCAATACCGACGCCTAATCTACAACAATACTGCATATCCCACCAGGTTCTGGAAAATAATAATGAGGATTCCTCTACAGCCAATTTAAATATCCCTGGAATGAGTAAAAAATTTGCTGTACCAAATGTCACTAAAACATTTCTTGTCCGTGGTGATTCATGGTTGACTGAGTCTTGTACCTCATCAGAAATCCTTGACTCCGGTATTAGTTCTGCAGAATCCTCTTCCAATTCTACAACTTCGTGTGACCAGTTAAATTCAAACCCCCTCAAATCAACCATTGATTTGCAGCTATCCAATCAAACAGTTTCTGCTCGCCCTCGATCTAATTCCGATTCCGCTTATGATACCGGTATATTGAGATTAAAGACCAAATATCCTTGCTGGAATGATCAAACCTTGCCATCAAATAGATTGACCAACAGTGCATTTTCAGAGATTGATCCTGTGCAAAACGTAATTGGATGTTTTCTCCAATCTGCAGAAGAATTAAAGACTCCCTTGTTTGCACCTCGGAGACGGCGTCGGGGACATCCACCCAGAAAATTTAAAACGATATCATGTTTATCTCACAATAAGATTACTGGGCAACAAAATATACAAAAATTCTTGAAGTAAGTTATTATTTAATAAATATAATAATATCTTTATCTATAACTTCACATACCACTTTTCCTGTTTTTACTTATGAATATAAAGTTGTTGGTGTACGTAGATATTTTTGGAATTAATTTTGATACTTGCCGTTGAAATCTAACTTCCTTGCACAAGTAAAGATAAGTGTATTTGGATTTTAACTGTACAATGTTTTATGAGAAATAGAGGTACTAACTGATCACCCCAACTGAATTTGATTACTGAACTGGTAAAAATCGAGTGCTAGAAATATTATCAACCTTGGAAATGTAAGTATGTTTTTGCATATGCTACCAGTCGTTCTGGTATTTTGGTAGCCACCAAGTGAAATGATTTTATAAAAAATACTCCTACTTATATATTGGAAGGTGCCCCATTCTGTCCAACCCGACCGAAGCTGCTACCTTGACACGGTGGTCGGGCTTGCCTATCGTGATGACCCAACCGAGCCATATTGGCTGGAACATATGCTTCTGTAGGTTCTACCACGCCAGGCAGGTCGATTGGAGAACGGTAAGACTAAAAGCAGCAACTCAAGGTCTGAGGGCGAAGTCGTACTGCTGACTGTAGAGGGGTGTGACAGCAGTAAGGTGTTTCCCTTGGACAACCAGCATCTGCAGCGATGCTGCCTTCCCACAAGGAGGGGTGGGGTTAGAAAAGGTCGACCCTAAAAATGTCACACCTCACCTTACCTCACGGATTTCCGTCTCCGGCGGTAAGGCTTTTTGAAGAACAGAGTTAATACATTAAAAACCTTCCACGAAAAGGCCGTGCGCGACCGGCCTCAAGCAGTTGTTTTTTGGGTTCTGCGGTCACGCTCTCAGGTCGTCAAGACCAACACTAATCCAATTTGCTTTTCAGGTTCCTCAAGAAATACCCTCCCACGGTGTGGGCAGCCGGGAAGTGATATCAGCCTTCATACCCATAACAGCACACGAGACCAAGTTGGTCACATTCAAATCCTTCCTACACCTCCTAATACTTCTCTTATCTCCATGACTAACCCTCCTGAAGTCTCTTTATCATCTCGCACCGCTAGGGCAAACGATTCGAGTACGTGGAACGTTATTCCTGGTTTCCTGAAACCACGCTCTAAACTACACGTAGGAGCTTTTAGCGTCCGAACACTGTGCCAAATAGGACAGCAGGCTTCCTTAGCTAGGACTTTAGGATCCCGCGCCATCGATGTGTGCCGCGTCTCCGAAACGCGCATACAAGATCCGAGTAGCGTCATTCATTTGACCTCACCATGCCAAAATAAAGAACCGACTCGATTTACGCTTCGTATATCTGGAAGCCCTGATTCTGCTTCTCGTGGCCTCGCCGGCGTAGATATAGCATTGAGTCCTAGGGCAGAACTAGCTCTCTTAGAGTGGATCCCAGTAGACAGTCGTTTGTGCGCTGTCCGACTGAACGGAACAGTAAGGTTCCGGAAAGATAGGGACACCCGTCGTTGCCTCTTCGTCGTCTTTGCCTGTTCTCCCACTGACTGCAGCTCAGATGATGTAAAAGATGAGTTTTACAGAAAGCTCTCCGATCTCCTCCTAAAAGCTAGGCGCTCGGATGTAGTAATGGTGGCCGGTGACTTTAATGCTCAAGTAGGTAAACTAAGCGATAGGGAAAGACACCTGGGGTGGATCTTATGGTGTCGTGGCTCAAAGAATTGATAATGGCGACCGTCCGTTGCAGCTATGCTCAGATAATCACCTGTTCCTTGCAAATACTAACTTTAAGCATAAGGAAAAACATCTTTTAACATGGCGACCCCCTAATTCGTCCCAACGTTGGACCCAAATAGATCACATCGCCATCAGCCACCGATGGAGGGGCTCGATAGAAGACTGTCGCTCATTCTGGAGCACACGCTTAGATTCAGATCATGCTCTAGTACGGGCGCTTATCTACCTGCGTCTTACTGAACGTAGGAAAGACGCTGCAAGGAAACCTCTTAGGGGCCTACTTAATGATAGTCAAGCTAAGAGTATATTTCAGGAACAACTAGAAATACAGTTAGGCAGCCATGTATGTGATGCCCACCCCGATGCAGTATGGAATGATATCCGAAAAGCTGTGGAAACAGCAGTGATATCTGCTAGTAAGGTAAACCAGAAGGTTAGGGAGCAACATTGGATCTCAGCAGCATCTATCGCACTGATAGATGCTCGGAAACTCATTCCACCTGGCTCTGAACATAGTGAAGAGCGGAGTCAGCTTAAGCACATGCTGACAAGAAGTCTACGCAATGATCGCGAACAGTGGTGGGTAGCGAAAGCAAGAGAGATGGAAAAGGCAGCGGCAATAGGTAATAGCAGAAAATTGTTCAGACATGTTAAAGAAACCGACTGTTAGCGAAACACTCTCAGAGAAAGATGGACATATTATTCATTCTCAATCCAGGAGATTGGATCGATGGGCAGAACACTTCAGGGATCAGTTCCACTGGCCTTCAGCCACACTTCGGTTTCCCATGATCTCCAGTCAACCTGAATGGCAAGTTAATGTAGATCCTCCGTCTCTTTACGAAGTTGAAAAAGCCATAGGAAATCTGAAACGAGGGAGAGCAGCAGGCCCTGACAGGTTTACTCCTGGGATTTTTAAGGATGGTGGTTCAGTATTAGCAATGAGATTAACCGAGATCTTAGGTAGAATTTGGGAACTGAACGTAATTCCATCTGACTGGTCTCAATCACTAATTGTGCCAGTCTATGAGAAAGGACAAAAGTCCTCTTGTGACAATCACAGAGGAATCAGTTTGACTAATATAGTGTCTAAAATATTAGCCTCAATAATACTTCGACACTTAATCAAAGCTCGTGAAGAACAGACTAGAGAAACACAGGCTGGTTTTCGACCTGGACGTGGTTGTATAGATCAGATATTCACACTACGTCAGGTTCTAGAACACAGACACACATTCAGACGCCCCACAATGGTAGTATTTCTCGACCTTAAGGCGGCATTCGACTCTGTTGGTCGTGAGGTTCTATGGCAGTGTTTGTCACTGAAAGGAGTACCAAAGAAGTACATTAACCTTATTCAGGCTCTCTACTCGAACACAACTGGTAGAGTGAGAGCTTATGGCGAACTGTCATCAGAATTGATTATATCAAGTGGTGTTCGTCAGGGCTGTTTACTCTCCCCATTCTTGTTCAACTTTGTCATTGACGTACTTTTAGAGATAACACTCTCCTCATCTAAATTTCCAGGGGCTGAACTTCTACCGGGAGGTTCACTTGTTGACTTAGAATATGCTGATGACATAGTTTTATTTGGTGAAGACGCTGACAAAATGCAGAGTCTTCTGACCATTCTAAGCAACAATGCAAGCATGTTCGGGATGCGATTCTCTCCCTCGAAATGCAAAATGTTGCTTCAGGATTAGGTTGCATCTACACCCAAACTAATGATGCGGAGTGAAGTAGTTGAGTGTGTCGATCGCTTCACTTATCTTGGAAGTCTCATCAGCCCTTGTGGTCTGGTGTGTGACGAAATCTCAGCACGGTTACAGAAGGCTCGACTAGCTTTTGCCAACTTGCGTCATTTATGGCGTAGGCGGGATATCCGTCTATCAACCAAAGGACGTGTTTACTGCGCAGCAGTTCGTCCCGTCCTACTTTATGGCAGTAAAACATGGCCGGCAAGAGTAGAGGATATTCGTAGGTTACTAGTATTCGATCATAGGTGTCTTCGAAACATTGCTCGTATATCCTGGGACCATCGAGTAAGTAATGCAGTTGTTAGGAAATGGGTACTAGGTAAGGATGGCAAATCGACTGATGAAGTAGTGAAACTTCATCAGTTGAGACACGTGTTACGTATGCCCAACGACCGACTGCCTCGACGTGCGATGTCCAGTGGTATAGGAGTAGATTGGAAGAAAGCTAGGGGCGGCCAAACCAAAATATGGTTCAAGTCCATGAAGTCACTGACAAGTGGTCTGAGTCATGTCGGTAGGTGTAGACTACCTGGTTGGGGACCGCGAGATGATAGCAACCGATGGTTAGAGACCCTGAATGACATGGCTCAAAATCGTTTGCAATGGTGCAGGTGCATACACTCTTTGTGTTCTCCCAAATTTTAATCTCCTTATTCCTCCTTGCCTCTTTTTTTTCTCTTCCCAAATTTGTTTCACTGAATTATACTCCTTAAATAACATCTCCAAACACTAATCTTCCCGATTACTGCTTATACTCTTATTACCTCTACCACTACGGGATTTGAATCGACAACTGCATCTCTGTGCTAATGTGGTGTAGCATCTCGAACTGATGTACGTACGTACGAAGTTCTACGTTGATACTTACTGACTGATATTCTGTCCAAAGTTGGCCTTGATTTAGGTTAAGTAACTGACCAGTTTGTTCAATTTATGATAAAATAACGTTTCACATATCCGGAAAAAATCCAATATTGTAGTAATATTCTAAAAGTCTACTGTATTTATTGTTAAAACTATCAAGCTTAATCTACTGCCACTCCGTAATCAATATTGTGGATACTTTGTAAATGTTCAAGTAGCTCACTCTATTGGCCCGGTCAGCTTTTGGAAATTAGACACTTCTCATTCAGGTTGTGAAGAGAATAGTCACATCGTTATCCAAAATATACGTATGCTTATTGTATACCAGTAATATCTGTTTCTAAAGCGATGTATTATTATTGAGTCGTAGATGGGAAAATTTCCCTGTAATTGTGTTCATTATCGCCCTTCTGATTACGCAAGCTGAATTAGATTGTATAAAAGTCAACCACAATAAACTGTACTGTAAATACACTATAGTGAATATCCTGTTGGTAATGCACCAAGTCTCACCTACAGTTGTCTAATATTTTCTTGAAGTTGTCTTCGATTTCCAATATGTACCTATTAGAGTTTGTCAGATAACCGTAAAATATTTCTACTTGCGTACATTTGGATGAATATAGGTATACTAGACGGAAAAAAACTAGGATGCGATTAATTTATAGAATTACCCGGTTGGTCATAAAACTTCATTTTTTGATATAATCCAAGTCCTTTTTTATAGGTGTAACATATCAAACTCAGAAAATGTTAATATTGAATCTTGTGGAGAAATTCAGTATCATAAACTTGGGAATGAGATACTTCAGATTGGTATTTCATCGAATTCGGATATATATAATTCTCTTAAAAGTCTTACATGGCTCGCTGAAAATGTAGAGACCCCATTAACGGTCCCCGTACATCGCCGTCGTGGACGTCCACCTCGTCATCCTAGAATACCATCTTCTATTTCTCAAAGTGTTTATAGTGCTAAAAGTTGTGAAAAAACGTTTATTACGTAAGTCATCTTTATCTTAGTTCAGAAATTAGTATTTCCCTAAATTTTCTATTTTTCTAAATCCCATATGACAATGGTCTGTTGACAGTACACATTTGTTGATGTATCTTCTGACAAATAATCGATTATTCATGCATTCTGTGAGAAAATTTCCCGAAAACCGGAAGCTAGGAAAACTCAACCCTATGGATGAATCGCTGACTCTGGTAGAACTTTGGGGATCGGTTTAATTGAGTTTTAAGGGTTTTCTAACTAACCGAAATTCAATCTTATTTGAATTGGGATGCTAGAAGTAAATCAACATAACTTTGAGTTAAATAAACTAACTAACTTTTTTTTCAACATTAAAGAGAAACTCATTTTCATTAGAATAACAATCAATGTAATTATAATATGATTACTATCTGCCGATGAAAATGTTAATGACAGATTATAAATAAAAGTAGGAAAATAAGTAAAGTTCAAAGTGTTTCCAGGTCGAATAAAGTAAGTTACCGAATTCATTCTTAAACCTTGTATTACTTCTGGGTAGTCAATAAAGTAAAAATCGTGTGCTCCTCAAAGTCAAAAGATATCATGTGATGTGATCACTTTAATAACTTTAATATTTCAATAAAACACTTCTTCCCTACGGAGTCATATCAATTTTTTCACAAGAAAATCACTATATATATATATATATATATATATATATATATATATATATATATCCTCAACGTAACATGCACCTTACAGAATTATTTTGTCATTTGTATTCGTAAACAATTGACTGTTTTCTTCTTGTTCAACTTAAAGGCATCCTCAGTGGCTGAAACCATTCTTTCGTTATCTTTCTACTTCAGAAGCAGAGACATTCCTTAAAAATTTAGAACGTAAGTATGAAATATTTTAATGGAAAATATATTTATCTATTCAAGCGCATAAATCTTAAAACATAACACAAACGAAAACTGAATACTGTAAATAAGAGAGACTGATAGTGCAGTCAACAAATAAATATGTAGAAAAAGAGTTTGGTTAAAAACACATCCAAGAAAGGTTTCTTCCAGTTAAGGAAGCTTATCTCACTTTATGAAGTGTACAATAAAACCCTAGGGTTGCCACAGGCTTCTTATCTGAACTATATTTGGTACCATCAGAATCCATTGATTTGCATAACCATGAATCCGAAAATGCCAGTCCTATATGGTTACCCTTCATAGCACGACACTTACCTACTTACGCCTGTTACCCTTCATGGAAGAGCATAGGCCACCCACCAACATTCTCCAACAAACTTTATCCTGGGCAATCCTCTTGAGTTGTTTCCAGTTGCTATTCATTTTTTTCATGTATGCTTCCATTTCCCTCTGCAGTGTCCTTTTGCCTTCTTTCTTCTTTCCAATTCAGGATTCCAAGTTAGGGCCTACCCCGTGATGCAGTTTGATGATTTCGGTAATATATGACCTATCCACTTCCAACATCTTTTCCTAATTTCCCCCTTCAGCTGAAAATCGGTTTGTCCTCTCTCACAGTAGGTTGTTGCTGGTGATATCCGGTCAACGGACATTGAGTATCTTGCGTAGACATTTGTTTACAAATATCTGTACTTCTTTGATGATGGTTATTGTAGTTCTAGAAGTCTCAGATCTGTAAAGTAGAACTGTCTTGACGTTTGTATTGAAGATTCTGATTTTGATATTGGTTGACAGACAGCTGTGCAGAGTCCCATATGTTTTTCAATTGTGGGAATGCTGTCCTTGTTTTGTCAATTCTTCCATTTACATCCACATCATATCATCCCTCTTCGTTGATGATACTGCCCAGGTACGTGGAAGTTTCCACCTCTTCCAGAGCTTCTCCATCAAGTGTGACTGGGTTGGTATTCTCTGTGTTGTGTTTAGGGATCTTGCTTTTCCCCCTGTATATGTTGAGGCCTATTGATGCAGAGGCTGCTGCTCCACTGGTTGTTTGGACCTTCATTTGTCAATGTGTATGAGATAGAAGGGTCAGGTCATCTGCGATATTTGGGTCGTCCAGCTGCATCCAAGCTATCCATTATATTTCGTGTTTCCTCTAAGATGTAAAGGTCTTCATAATCCAGTCAACCATCAGAAGAAAGAGAGAAAGGGTAGGAGCAAGAAATCTTGTCCGACTCCGGTTCTCATTTGGAATGCACCTGTCATCGGTTCCCCATACACCACTTTACAGTGTAGTCCGTTGTATGAATCTTGTATAATGTCGACGATTTTCCCAGCTAAAGCATAGTGTTGAAGACGATTCCACAAGGTTTTCTTATCCACACTGTCTAACACTTTCTTATAGTCAAGGAAGTTGATGTGTGGTGACGAATTCAATTGAAGTGATTGCTCAACAATGATATGTAGTGACGTGATTTGGTCTGTGCACAACCGATCCTTACGAAATCCGGTCTGTTGATTTCGAAGTTGGGTATCTACTGAATCTTCCATCCGGTTCAACAAAAAACTATTGAGAACTCCTGTTACTGATAGTAGTGTGATACTATTGTATTTGTCACACTTGTCGAGATATCTTTTCCTTGTCCTTCTTTTCAGTCTGTCGGTAGTACTTGTTCTTTCTTTCTTGCTGTTCAGAACCTCCAGACACGTTGAAGTTAGAGCTTCTTTGATCCCTTTCCAGTTGTTTTCCATAATGCTTTTCTCGTTCGTTTCTCCCAGTCAGTCTTTGCCGTCACATGATATCTTCATATCCGTTGTTGTCCATTCCGACATTGGCGTTTCGATCTCCTATCAGTATGTTCAGGTCCTTTACTGAACACTTGACTATGATCGATTGCAGCCTCATAAAACTGATCTTTATCGTCATCATTGCTATCGTTGTTGGGTGCATAAGATTGGATAACATTCCCTCCCTCTTTGTTTTGAATGATGCTTTGATGATCCTGGGTCCATGAGTTTCCCATTGTGTAGGGGCTTTGCGTGCTTGTTTGGTCAACAACAGATCAACCGCCTGTTTGTAGAGAATTTACTTATTCGTGACCAGAATAAAACAGCATCTTTTCTGTCCAATTCGGGTTCAATAAGTTCCACGTATTCGGAGAACCGCCAAGTTGTATCTCCTCATTTCTGTTGCTGTTTGACTGGTCCTCCCGATCTCTCACATTGTCCGAACGTTCCATGTATCCATAGTATTATTTCTTGTGGTTGTTAGGAGGAACATCGGCTTCGTGACTTCCTAAGAATCTCTGCTTTCACTATGAGGCGTCATAGTTTTTGCTGCAACTCGGAGGGCGAAGTTTAAATGGCTTAAGTTGTTTGTTCTGGTTAGTGTTTTGTTAGCAAAGTTGTTTTCCACAGGATAAGGTCGATGACCTTATGTCCAACCCACTTTAGCCGGTCATGGGACCGGCAGTAGATCTCGAAGAGCTACAGGCGGAGTTTCATAGCACGACAGCGTGCCATAAACTAACCACCTCTCTGCTTATTCTACCAGATTCCAGAGTCGGGAAATAATGCACAAATAGAGGTCTCTGGGGTGATATTCATAATACGTAACCAAGCGACAGAAGTTTGTGTTTCAATATAGTTACGCCGATCGGATGATCGTTACTGCGCCCAAATACACATTGCCAGACTACTGCATTACTAACATGGTGTTTGTCTTGGATGTAAGAAAACCATCGGAGACCGACTATCGGATACGGAGAGTTGCTAAACCTCCTCGTCTCGAAGGCGCCAGGTTTACAAGCCCATGGTGTAACCGCTCTCACATACATGTTTTGAACTCCACTATGGTTGAATATGATGGATATAGAACTATATGACTTAAATCGTCTAGATTAGTAAGAAATATATATTATTCTTCTAAGATGATATTGAACCTGTGTACGACTGTTACTGACATCTCTGTGTATTGTCCTCCATATTAAATACTTTCGGATAGCTATCAGGTCAAAGCAATTTGTAAGAGTTCATACTCGAGCTTCATAAGAAATGTGTTTTCAATAATGGTTGGTTATGATGTTCTTACCTTAACCCAGCTAACATATGGTCTATAACTAAAATTAATCTTTATTACCATCTTAATACTTAATCCCTTAAAATAGGCTTTTTATTTCTTAATTCAATTCTACTCACTTAGAAATTACAACCGTAAAATAATGATCGGCTTAACTTGTAGCTAAATTTGTTCAACAGGTGGTGTTAGGTTATAAATCCCTACATAAACCACATGGTTTTAGCAAAATATTTATCTGATATTTCACAAGAGAATCAACATTCATTGCATCGGTGTAAATATAGTTATCATGTAGATAAATGATGACGATGTGAGCTGACTTCTTTTGCGGTTACGAAGAACGTTGATGATTAGGTGAAAGTTCTGTTAAGGATGTGAAATACTATGTTATACTGTAACGCTTATTATAAGTTTTTTAAGATTAGTACGTAGGTTAATTCAGAAATTTGGACAGTTTTTAGTGTACTGACTTGAAACTGATAAACTACAAGCATTTCAAATATTTGAATGACTAGAATCCGAATAAATTACTTCACATAGGACAATGTTAATTCTTTTGTTAACAAGTTTGTTTTTTCATACAGAATAATTCGTTTTCATTTATATCTGTTAATGTACTTCTATTGAAGGTGAACGCATACTACGTATTGAACTTAGTCAGCTGATACAAGATTACTGTAGATTCTCCATGAAAACAGGTGACTTTTATTCAATAGCATAAATTATTATATAACTTTCGAATAATTTGTTGAAAAGTGCTTTTCTCTCTTAGTCACTTCTTTCGTTTTATTAGTTAGATATTTCAGTTGTTACTTTTTCGTTTGATCTTGAGAAATTTTCACACTAGTCCAAAATAAATATACTCAAAACGTTTTGCACGTTCGCGATACATAATTGAGTTCTCTAGAGCTTGATTTTTTCTCGGCGTGATGTTTTACTCGTTTAATAACTCTAATCAGTCAACGTTTGTTTAAAGATTATTTTTTTCGTTCTTCAAAGTAGTTGTGGTAGGACAAGTAGCAAAGTAACCGACTCCCTTCTTATGAACACTTCTGAATCTTAGGATGCATATATGGAAATTTATTTATCATATCATTCGAAATCAGTCAATTATCCTTTGTCATATTCACATACAATAGTTCAGTTATTTACATTAAACCTAATTGGTTTATTTAGAAAACACTGACCATTGAATCACATCTTAAATATGATTATTTAAAATTCGGAATTGTATTCAATAACATATGTTTCGTTTGGTTGGAGAGAGCAGGGACGCAAATTTATCTCTATCCAGTCACCTAGTCAATATACGGGTGTTGATGTACTTCTGTTTATTGAAAAAAATTTTGATGATTAACAGCCTAAAAGATTGAACAAAACTGGCTTAATAACTAAACACATTATATATACATAAGGTCAAAGCAATCCACGCACTTAAATTAGAGTGCATAGATATAAAAGTCCCCGAATGCCCCGGTACGTCCGCGGGTTGGGAAAGTCCGCTCTCCCTCACGAACTGCTCTCACATGGCCGTGCGTATACAACCACTGCCACGGAAGTTCTACTCACTGCCTTCTGGTGGCGGGGGTGTTGTTTACAAAATTGAGATGATGAAAAGCAAATGTCCGGTGCTTTAAACGGGGTCGCGGACACGGAGGGCTTCAGGATCCTAAGAAAACAAATGGCGTATGAACTTATTGTTGGCCACCGGCAATCATGGAACTGCATCTCCTAACGTTGCTCCACTACCATGTGGATTAGCCCTGTAGGTCAATGGCTCGGGGTGTATCCCTCTAAGAAAACCACCTGCTTCGGTCTGGGCACCCGGGGAGTATTCCGGCCCTCACACAAATCGAATGATTTATGTGGCGCATATATATCTGGTGCCTCATTGGACCAATGTTTATGTGTTTAAATAAGTGAATTTAAAATAGATAAGGAAGAAGTATAACCAAAGTCAAGTAATAATCGTATTTCTCATTTGTGTCCACTATGTTTCTCAACATATCATAGGAATGAATACTCAATAATTGGTTGCAAGTCTAAATTCATTTATGTTAACTGCTAGATACCCACTTGGTGGTCTAGAGTTTAAGTAAATTCTTGTTGCGAGACCTAAATATCCTGGATTCGATCCCTAGTGGGGTCGTTGATGAACACTGTCGAAAAGTTCCATACAAGAGCAAAAGTTGTCTAGTGCTCCCTAGTTTTCAATCGTTGCAGTATTGTCAATCTATAATGTAAAACTACAGATCTTGCGATTTCTAGTCCCTCGTGCTAAATTCAGTCACCTCAAGACGTCTTATAAATATTTCGAAATTCAAACAATCACTACTGTTTTAACTTGATTTGTTCCTTGTAACAATCATAAGTAGCTGGTATACATACATCCGTAATCTGATTGTTGTATTCGAGTTTACAAGACTATAATCCACCACAAATTTTGTGTTCGGCTCAAAGCAACAGGTTTTGTGTGCGGGCTAGTGATACCACGCGGCATCTCTAGTTGTAATAAAGGAGAATCAGAGTTCAAACCTACGACTATATAGCTCAAAGTAGAATGATTTACCACTAAATTTAGCTGGTAGTGGTTGGTCATTTCATCAAAATTTCACGTTTCTTATTGTTTCATAACTAGTCTGCTCATTCCTGCTTTTCCTTTACGTTTATTTTCCAACATGTAGCTGGCTATGCTGTGACCTGGTTAATTTAACTACGACTATTTAGTTAATCTAAATTTTCTTCCGAGTAATATTTCTAGCATACTCGTCGTCTGTTCAAATAATCACATTTATGATGGGATAAAAAGATGACATTACTTAGGTCAATATTTTCTTGTGCCGATTTAGTATAAAATTCGCTCAATATGAAAAGTGTGAACTGTCGTTCAGTTTGACATTTATATTCTCTGTATCAATTATGGTGCAAAATATTTATTGTGTTTGCTTTTACAATAACTCTTTGTATTTCACCTATGTGATATTGTGTTCCTAATTTGCGTCACGATATTTACAATGGTTCTCTTTTTGAAGTATGTGACATTGATCACCACCCAGTGATCAATCAATTGTAATTAGATCTCAGTCCTACAGGAGGTTAGTCATGATTCGGATAGCTCAGTGGTAACGTCTCTGACTGTGAAGCTGGGTGACACGAGATCGAATCCGCCAGGGAGCACCAGTTCCCTCAAGATTACAGGTACACCTTGCTGACGAGTGCCAAGTAGCACGAAACCCGGGTCCAAGGTTTCCTGTTGACTACCTCCAACCACCATCTATGTGTTTTAGGATCGATGAATTGCAGTGGTTCTGTATTGTCAATTATGCGCAGTATGACTATGAACTCAACAGAGTCTATGCGTACGTGACTGCGGCGATACACGCCCAGACAACAGAGACCTCCAGAGATATAACAACGAAGACTGGAATGTAATGATCGCTCATCATGTTCACCGATAATCTCTTAATGATTTTTTATATATCTTAACAATCGGTAGGAGTGATCATTAACGGCTCCTATTCCCGGTTTACCAAATGGATCTTGAAACTGTAGTCTATAAATCCAAAACTGATAGCCATAAATAGTGAAGGATGTGGAATTTTCTCACACAAAATTGAGGGGAAGATGAGTGTGGAAAAAACGGTGGGAAACGTAATAAAAATGAGGAGAAATAGGAATTATTTGACCATTAAGCAAGCAATTGTTTCTCCTCACTTGCTTATGTATCCCAGTCTATTTTACTTCAATTAGTACTTTTCCAAAAATATTTTGGCTAATTATTTTAGCAAATGTAGTTCACTATCATCATACAACTTAGTGTCATTACTAAACTAACTCCAAACTCAATATTAATGAAAAATTGCCTATTGTGAAACTATTTTTATTAGTAGTTTGTACTTCTTAGCCTGATCTAATTTTTTTGTTTGATATGTTTTAACAGTGACTGATTGTGTAGTTCGTGAGGATTCATCTATTCGTTTCGATCTCTATAAGAATTCTTCATCATGTTCTTCCACCTCCACTTCTCCTCCGCTCCCGCCGCCGTCAACTCCAATCTCCAAAAAGTCATCAACTTCATCTGTTCATCACCAGCTGTCCAATTTTGTGAAGTTACGGAAACTTAAACGATCATTTAGTATAACTACTCGAAAACCGGTTCATAATTTTGCTTCGAATAAAAGGAATCAATATCGCAGTTTTGCACATTATAATAATCATAATCTTCGACGAATTAATTTCGCTAATAGAATTAATAAAAAAATTAGTTGTAAACGAACACGAACTGTTTTTAATTAATGTTCAATATTCTTCCTTAACATTTTAATTCTCAGGTTGCTTATTTCATTGTTTATACAATGTTCTTCTCGCTGTGTGACCTAAACATATGCAAACACAATTTCAGTTCTAATTGTTAATTTTGGCTAGGACCTTCTTTATTGTTAGCAATAAAATAATAATGAATTGTACATATCATTCTATGTACATTCTTAATACTAGAACTAATGAATTCATAATTAATATGATAATTTGTGTCTTATTCTGCTTCACACAATTCGACTTTTAAAAGTGACACTGAAAATATTATACGGTTTATTCAAATGATTTTAAACCAAATTTCGTTTACTGATAAACCTACTCACAGTGAAACTAACAATACTTATTACTGTTAACCTATACTCATCTCAATTTATTATTAATATTTGATTGTCATCAAATTTATTTTGTTTGGCTGTGTCCTTCCTTGTTAACGTTTTAATAATTGAACTCCTAGTGTATTCGTAGGTGACTGTTTCTATCATTTTTAGATGTTTTTTTTCATTTGTTTTCCTGTTACTTCTTGGTTAGATTGTTCCTTACGTCCACACGTTAATTCCTTCGAGTAAATCAACGATCAATTGCTCAACTTAACATTGTTTATATTATTAGGTTTTTAATAGGTGTTCCATTTGAAGGCAAATCAGCGATCCCTTCGATTCCCAAATCAATTCATTAAGTGTTATATATATGGTACATTTATCCTGTATTACGTAAGGTGTTATAATACTAATTTTTATTCTGAATGCGTTTATGTATGTGTATCGTGTTTTCTGTAGTTATGTTTCAATAATATATTTATTATGGTTGTTATGTTGGATATGTTCAGAGTCATCTAGAAAAAGGATGTACGGAAAACTCAGATCTATATTGCAATGACGTATTATTATCCCGTCTTAAATCCAAGCAGGAAATAAGAGATGTATATTTATAAAAGTTTAAGTTTTTTTGTTGTTGATATTAGAGGCTGAAGTTTATCAATCTCAACTGGGATTCTGAGTGAATTACCTCAATAATGCCTTTACCTACGAGTTTTTAGTTTTACATCCATATAAATTAATACCCGTGAAACAAGTTAGTGGCTATCTTGACTCACTGAATTACGCTCTAGGGTTTAAGTCGAAATTTACAGGAGGAAAGTCTCAGTACGAACATCAACTGTGGAATACAAGCATATCTAACTAACTAGTCCTATTTAGGGAGAAAGACGCGTTTTGGATTCCAGTACTAAGAGATAAAAGTGCTTTAACGGCCCGTAAGTGTACGAATACATTTAAAATGATAAGTTGCTAATTTTCAACTGTGGTGCTTCCTGTTATGAAATTATCTGAACACAATTATCCCGTTGTAAATCAATATGATTGGTTAGGTACAAAGTAAACAGTAAGAACAAGGGGATTAGCATAAGAAGAGCAAAAACTCGATAAGTAGTGCCTAATATATATATTAATGGATGCATTTAGTATTGTTCTCTATATGTGGTGGTTAAACATTATTACTTTTTTCTTGTTAATTTACCACGTGCTACGTTTTCTGTATACTAAATACCTGATACTGTTCCGCATTCTTTCTGGGCATATAACCGGTTTACACCTGTTTTTAATTTTTCGACAAAGCAATAACTACAGTTCTAGTATGGTGAATGAGTTTATTAAAAATAATTTTCCTAATTTAATGAGACATGCAAAATAACCATTTAATGATAACTGTATTTATTCCTAGCTTATAAATTATAATTAATAGTTGAATTCATGAGTCGATCTAAGCTAAACCATCCATTTGGTGAGAAATCGTGAATAGTTGAGTTCAATCCGTGTTGCATGGAGACAGTTATCCACTTAAGATAATAGATGGGGTTCGCGCAAGACTGATTGGAGTTAGACATTAACACCGTTGGATGCCGACCCAATGGTCTATGGTTATGTGTTGGCGCACGATACCTAGGGTCCTTGGTTCGAGTCTCGCGTACGGGATTGTGGGTACGAAGTATTAAGGAGTTCTACACTAGGACGAAACGACCTTTCAGTGCGTCCATGTTCTCAGTGGTGGTTTAGGTTAAATCGACTCACGAATTCAACTATTAAAGTTACTACAATCTCCACGAATCCCCACTCTGATTATAAACTATTCATTTATTTCCAGATTTCTGTCTAACAATGTTCCATTTTTTGAGAAGCTTTCGAATTAAGACTGGCCTTTCATCTCCGTATTCTTGTGACATACTACTTCTAAAATCAACCCATTTGACTGTATTACGTATATGTTGAATTACAATTCAACTCATAAATGGTGTTTTAATTGTTGAAATTATTTGACTTCCAGCAACTGAGTCGAAGGTTTAGAGGTGCCATAATCTTTCTCCGATTTGATCGTACGGTTGAAAACAGTGTTGGTTACCGATTGCGTAAGCTACATTGAGTTCGCTCGTCGAAACTTGTTGAGGCTAATGTCCTCAATATCTGACTCCAATAAATAATATCCCGTAAACTGAGTATTTTTGGTAGGCTTAATCTCCTAGTAGAATTACGGATTTACTCGAGATTATTCAGAAGCCTGAACACCAGTTGTAGAGATAATTTATTGTTAATTAATAATAAAAATCCGCAAGCGTACAGCGAGCAAGCACACGATGAAACAAAGTGAGTGAGTCTGTGTGTTAAAAATCCATATATATTTTTGAGAGTTAATCGGGTGTGGATAAATTATTGATTATCTGCACACTGCAACCAATAGGAGAATAGCTTAGGGGTTAATGTACAGACATGCACTCGATCATACACACCGAAATTAACATAATGAATTAAGTGTCTGAGTTACAATGAGTAGACAAATGACACAGTGGTCAAATGGGCTTGCCATATAAGCTCCCACCCAGAACATTGATGTTTTTATGCACACAAAAAATTGATTAACATCTATGTTCGACAAAGAGATAAAGAACGGAATTGTTTTTAAAATAAAAGTACAACTCAATATGATGAGTAAACGTTAAATTGTAATAACAGCTTGTGTGTTGAAACGTTTCATATCATGTATATACAGGTGTATATTTAACATTAATGAATTGTATGGAGATATAAGCATAATGATGATCCGTGGGACCAATAAAAAAAAGTAATCAAAATAAAGTAGGATTTTTATGTGTTATAAGAGTAGTCTCAGAATTTGGTCTACATAAATGTGGTTGCTACATACCTATCTGGCCAGTGTACTCTTCTTCCTGATCTTGTTGTAGTTTGTGCTGCTGCTGAACTTTGATTTGAAGTGTTGCTTGTTGCAGGTAGTTTGAATGGTGCTTGCTCTGCTTCAGGTTTAGACGACTTTACAGTTGTCTGTTTTTAAATGTTCTCTAAAAATGCTGGTTTTACTGTCGATGCTAACAGTATCATGTTTACCTGCTCTTTTCACTGTAACCGTTTTAGTGTCCTTCCGGATGATTTTAAAAGGGCCGTCGTAAGGAGTCTGTAACGGCTGTCGTATTCTATCTGTGAGCATTTGTCTAGTTCATTGGTACGAATGATTTCACCTTTTGGGTTCGTGGTTTAACGGACCTAATGGATTCCATCTGCTGTTTTAATTGTTGTACGTAGTTGGTTATATCTGCTGGAATATCTGTTGCACAGTCAAAAAATTCACCAGGCAAACGTAACGTTGTTCCATAAACCAACTCAGCAGCACAACAACCGAGGTCTTGTTTGATGGTTGAGCGAATGCCTAATAGTATCAAAGGAAGCTTGACATCCCATTTGTAATCTTCTCGTGCGACCGTCAAAGAGGCTTTTAGCTGTCTGTGGAACCTTTCTATCATTCCGTTAGCCGACGGATGATAAGCAGTAGTTCTAATACTCTTTATACCGAAAGTATCTGTAAGTTACTGAAATAGTTTGCTTTCGAATTGCATTCCACGGTCGGTCGTAATTGTTGTAGGAACGCCAAAGTTTGTAATCTAGTGTTTCACCAGCTTCTTCGCCACTGTTGATGCTGACGTGTCTTTTAACGGAACAGCTATGCGCCATCTCGTAAATCTATCTATACATGTTAATATATGCGTGTAACCATTAGAAATCGGTAACGGTCCAACAATGTCGATATGAATGTGGTCGAACCTAGCGCTAGCGGCGGGAAAAATTCCGGTAGGAGATATGATGTGCCTATGTACTTTTGACTTTTGGCATTGGACGCATTCCCGTGACCATTTTCGTACGTCTTTGTTTATGTTTGGCCATACAAATCTATCTGTGACAAGCTTTACAGTGGCTTTTATACCTGGATGAGATATATTGTGTAATTTCTCGAAAATGTTTCGTCTCATACAGTAAGGTACAAAGGGGCGAGTTTTACCTGTTGAGGTATCACATGTTAAGGTGTCCTTGTTGTTTATGGGGATGTTTTGGAATAATAATTTCGTTTCCTTAGACTGCAAAAGTTTTTTGTAGCTCTGTATCGAGCTTTTGATGCTTTGCCATTTCTTGATAGTTTATATCAGGGATCGAGATGGTATTGATATTTAATCTCGATAGTGCATCTGCTGCCTCATTTGTATTGCCTTTAATATAGTGTATATCAACTGCAAATTGTGAAATGAATTCTAGTTGACGAATTTCGCGCGGACTGTATTTATCATGATTGTGCATCAAGGACTTAGTTAGAGGTTTGTGATCAGTATATATCGTAAAAGAATTGCCTTCTAACATATAGCGAAAGTGTTTGATGGCTAAGTAGATAACTAACAGTTCTCTACCGAATGTGCTATATTTTGTTCGCGTTGCGTTTAGCTTTTTTGAGAAAAATGCAAGGGGTTGCCATTGTTGATTGACACGTTGCTGAAGTACAGCACCTACTGCTATATTAGAAGCGTCGGTCATTACTGCCAAAGGTGCATCAACCTTTCGTCGTGCGAGTAATGCCTCTGTGCTTAAAGCGCTTTTCAACTGGTCAAATGCTTGAATTGCTTGCGGTGTCATTGCTAATGATTTAGCTCGTCTCCTTAATAAATTAGTTAATGGTTTTGCTAAGTCTGCACATTTGCGGATAAAACGTCTGTAAAAGTTGATCATCCCAAGGAAACGTCGTAGTTTCTTGAATGAATCAGGTAAAGGATCATTTTTGATAGCTTGTGTTTCCTCAGGAACTGGTTTAATGCCTTGATTATCAAGTACGTGAAACTAAAAAGGTAAGGGATTGTTTTCCGAACTCACATTTGTCAGGATTGACTGCTAACCCATACTCGTTTAGCTTCTCAAAAAGCATTTTCAGATGAGTTAGATGTTCGTTTTCATCTTTGCTTGCTATAAGTAGGTCATCTATGTAAGCATATACAAACGGTAAGCCCCGAACCACCTGGTCAATAAAACGATAGAAACTTTGTGCAGTATTCCTTAATCCGAAAGGCATGCGGACGAATTCGTATAGTTCAAAGGGAGTAGTAATGGCTATTTTAGGAACATCGTTCGGATGAATTGGAATTTGATGGTAAGCACGGACGAGATCAACTTTTGAAAAAATCGACACGTCAGATAGGCTATGAGTAAAGTCATGCAAATGTGGGAGAGGGTATCTATCTAGTATGGTCCGGCTGTTGAGAGCTCTATAGTCACCGCACGGTCTAACTTCGGAAGAGTTTTTCTTAGGTACCATATGGAGCGGTGGTGCCCACGGACTATCGGAAGGGCGTATGATGCCCAACTCAATCATTTTGTTGAATTCGTTCTTAGGGATAGCCAGACGAGAGGGATCAAGGCGTCTTGGACGTGCGAACACTGGTGGACCCTCTGTCTTTAAATAATGTACGACGGTATGTGTCGGTTTGTCG